TCCTCTACCTTTCAACTTTTAAATGGTCATTTTCCATTACGCCCTCGGGTACAGCAAATGTGAGCAGAGAAGATGCCTGGAAGTGCATTATCTTTCATGACACGGGCTGATCTATTAGATTCCAAGAAAGTAGGAAAGACGTGTTTCTCTACGGCTTAACATTTCAGGGTGACCTAATCACAGGAGGTCATGTGGGAGATCCTCCGTAAGCTAAAGAAAAAGAAAAAGCAGACAGAGCTACCCCAGTTATTTTTCAAGTTAGGAGAAGAGAATTTCCTGCTCAAACCATAACCCCACATGTGGCCTTACCCAATGGGGTCCTGGGGTTGGGGGAAGTTTGGGGGTATCCAGTCAAATGGTCATGCTTTTAGGCTCTAAATCCAGAAAGAGATTTTTCGTTAAACTTTATCGTAGGAACCTCAAAGTTCAAAAGCCATTCGCAAGTGAGAACTAGCCTCACTCTTGGATGTGACCCATGCGTCCTATACTGCAGCCATACTTGAAGCATTTGCTGTTCCTGGAGCGTGGCTTGTACTTTCGTGATGCCTCCATGCCCAGCTGCTGCCGTTTCTTCTGTCTGGGATTTCCTTCTTGTCTGTTGGCAAACCGCAACCCCATTCTTCAATGCCCGGTTCTAAAGCTTTTATGAAGCCTTGAGTAATCACTGCCAGACACAATTAATCGCCACCTCTTCCGTGCTCTCATAGACCGTGGTCATACTCATTGGGCACAGCTTTTATGCTGGCATAGGTCAGTGACTTGCCTTTTTTTTTTCTTTTGGTCTCTCTTAACTACATTATGTTCTCTTTAAGGTTCAAGAGAACCAGGAACTTGTCTTACTTATCTTGTTTAACAGTGTGGCATGGCGTTCAGAGTACAGACTCTGGAACCACACTGCCTAATTGGCTTTTGTACTTCCTAGTGCCGTCACCTCTCCGTCAGTTTCCTCAGCTATAAAATGGGCAAATTCAAAACTTATCTCATGGCGTTGTGAGAATTAAATGGATTCATGTGTGGAAATCATTTAGAAGAAACGGTACCTGGCTTAGCTCGCATTAGCTTGTTGTTGTTATCCCTTTGACCCAGCACAATGCCCAACATGTAGATTAGCTGCTCAGTAAATGCTCGTTGAATCAATGAGTTAAACAGTGTTAGAACTCTTTTTAAAAGGCACCTATTCTGAGATTAAAAACAAATTTCCCATTATTGTTAATGCATATTGGCACATTCTTTTTAGTTTAAACATGCCTCGCTTTACGAAAACACAATGTGGAAAACTTAGAATTTAAAAGCAACTGTTATCACAAAAGTTTTTGATAAAGAGCTTTTTTTGAGTTTTCTCTTTTACTAGCCACGCCTCTAATACAGACACAGGTGGTAAACCGCTTAACACTTAACACACCTCCTCAGACAAACTGGACACGAAAAGGTGAATGACTGCTCTCCACTGAAGTCCACCCATTCACATTTAACATGATAATCCAAGTCAATCAAAGGAGAATATTTAAATCAAGGAAACTTGATTTAAATACATTTTTTTGCAGGAAAAATAAAGTTGTCATACTGGGTCAGCCTTGAGCTTGGAAAGTTCCCAAAGGGCTGTTTTGTGAGAAGGCACAGATGATGTCCCCTTAGAGTTAAGAAGAGACACATTTTCTCCTTCCCCACATCCGTAGACCCTGGTATATTGTTCTACACCAGAAAACAAGTCTTTAATTTCAACAGGGGAGGACTTGGCCAACATTTTTAGGAAGAACGCTTCGCCCAGTTGGAAGTTACCTTCTGGCGTTGGGCCCGTTCTTTTCATGGCCAGGAAAAGAGAAGAGCCGCAGCTTGTTCTCCGGTCGTTCTTCCTACACCTCCAGGCATTAAATTTGCAGTTGTCATTATTTAACATTTATTAGTGTCTTGACGTGCCGTGTCTCTCTGAAAGAGCTCCAGGGAAAACAGCGGGCAGTAAACCATCACTATAAACAGGCTACATGACACCTGGCTCTGCTCGGTCAATCTCCAGAGACTCTGTCTCTTGCTCTCTGTTCAGCATGGAAACAAGATAAGCAAACCAGTGCCCTGCTGGGGTCCTGTCCCCATCCTTCCGCCCCAGCAATCCCACCATCGAGTACACAGAGGGCACGGGCATTGTCAGGCTAAAGGCTGAAAGAGGGGGACAAAGTGGGTAGGAGAATATGAAATGGAAGGATGGTGGGAGGGAAAATGAAGGTGCAGGCGAGGTGCTGTGTGAGAGCTGCATTTGCCTCCCGGTTGCAAGGGAGTAGGTGGCTATTAACAAAGAGATATAGGCCAGGTGGAGTGGAGCGGGCAGGGCCTGATTGCTGAGGACAAGTAATTGGTCTCCCTCCTGGTTTAATGCTCCGGTCTGGTGCGCTCTCCCAGATGTTTTTCTGTTGCCATGGTGGCTGGGGCAGGGGTAATGGTCTTGGATCAGGGGAGATGAGGCCACAGAAGGCTTTTTGCTCTGTTTGAATACTGATTACAGGAGCTTCACATTTGGTGGATCTGGAGCACCTTTTGTAATGAGGTTTTAAACTTTTCCTTCCTCTGCGTACAGGACTAGCTTTTGCTCACTGTGAAGCCTGCAGGTGCTCAGATTATAAATATAAATCCATGCCCTCGACAGTGAGCTGTGGGGACACTTGCTCCCAGAGAAATTAGCCGAGGAAA